TCCTCTGTATCTGAGGAATTTCTAGATATCTTATTGTTATTTATTACTAATTTAATACCTTTGTGGTTGATAACATACTGTGTGTTTTTCATCTTTTACTGAAATTTATCAGGCCTTGTTTTATGGCCCAACCTATAGTCTAGCCTAATAAAATGTTCTATCTGGTTTTTCATATAGGTTGACAATCTCTGCTCTTTACAAAAAGTATTTAGTTCATTGATATTTAAATAATGACTAAAATGTTTGGGTTCAATTTATCATCTTGGATTTGTTTTGTATTTTGTCCCATATATTCTTTTTTCTTCTGTTCATCTTCCTGTCCTTTATTTTGGGCAAATTGAGCTTAAGGGCTTTATTTGCAAATTCCAGGAAATCAGAAAAGGCACAGTTGGCACTAGTTAGGGGAGTCTAAGAAGGTGGCTGATATACATTTGAGTTTTGGGGTGTCTTAGTCATCTAGCACTGCTCTAACAGAAATACCACAAGCGGACGGCTTTAACAAAGAGAAGTTTATTCTCTCATCGTCCAGTAGGCGAGAAGTCCAAATTCAGGGTGTCATCTCCAGGGGAACGCTTTCTCCGTCAGCTCTGGAGGAAGGTCCATGTCATCAATCTTCCCTTGGTCTGGAAGACTCTCTACGCAGGAACCTCAGGGCCAAAGGATGCGCTCTGCTCCCGGCACTGCTTTCTTCGTGGTATGAGGTTCCCATGTGTCTCTGCTCGCTTCTCTCTTTTATATCTCAAAAGAGATTGGCTTAAGACACTATCGAATCTTGTAGACCTCAACAGTATAACTGCCGCTAATCCATCTCATTAGATAATGGTGAGTGAATTTACAACACTAAGGAAATCATATCAGATTACAAAATGGTACACAATTACACAATACTGGGGATCATGACCCGGCCAGGTTGAAAGATATTTTGGAGGGACACAATTCAATCCATGACATGGGGTATCCTTGAAAGTAGCTTTTAAAAATAGTAAAGACTGTTGTGGCTACTTGGATTTTTTAGGCACCTCAGAGGAAAGGCCGGGCAATCTAATTCTAAAAAATCAGCCACTGAAAGTGTGCTCTGTGGAACACAGTTACGCTCTATATGCAGAGGTTGTCATGAGTCAGAATTGATATTTAATTTATCCTCCATGTGTCTATCAGTTTGTCGTACTGTGGGGGCTTGTGTGTTGCTGGAAGCTATGCCACCGGTACTCAAATAACAGCAGGGTCACCGATGGCGGACAGGTTTCAGCTGAGCTTCCAGACTAAGACAGACTAGGAAGAAGGGCCCAGCAGCCTAATTCTGAAAAGAATTAGCCAGTGAAAACCTTATGAATAGCAGCAGAACATTCTCTGGTATCGTGCTGGAAGATGAGCCCCTCAGGTTGGAAGTCACTCAAAAGACGACTGGGAAGAACTGCCTCCTCAAAGTAGAGTCGACCTTGATGTGGATGGAGTCAAGCTTCTGGGATCTTCATTTGCTGATGTGGCACGACTCAAAATGAGAAGAAACAGCTGCAAACATCCATTAATAATCGGAACGTGGAATGTACGAAGTATGAATCTAGGAAAATTGGCAATCATCAAAAATGAAATGGAACGCATTAACATCGATAACCTAGGCATCACTGAGCTGAAATGGACTGGTATTGGCCACTTTGAATCCGACAGTCATATGGTCTACTACGCCGGGAATGACAACTTGAAGAGGAAAGGCGTTGCATTCATCAACAAAAAGAACATTTCAAGATCTAGCCTGAAGTTCAACACTGTCAGTGATAGGATAATACCCATATGCCATCAAGGAAGACCAGTTAACACGACTATTATTCAAATTTACACACCAACCACTAAGGCCAAACATGAAGAAATTGATTCTTATCAACTTCTGCAGTCTAAAAGTAATCGAACCTGCAATCAGGATGCACTGATAATTACTGGTGATTGGAATGAGAAAGTTGGAAACAAGAACGATTGGTAGTTGGAAAATATGGCCTTGGTGATAGAAACGATGCCAGAGATTCCATGACTGAATTTTGCAAGACCAATGACTTTTTCATTACAAATACCTTTCTTCACCAACATAAACGGCAACTATACACATGAATCTTGCCAGATGGAATACACAGGAAGCAAATTGACTACATTTGTGGAAAGAGATGATGGAAAAGCTCAATATCATCAGTCAGAACAAGACCAGGGAGGGACTGAATGCATAACAATCAATTACTCATATGCAAGTTCAAGTTGAAGCTGAAGAAAATTAGAACAAGTCCACCAGAGCCAAAGTACGACCTTGAGTATATCCCACCTGAATTTAGAGACCATCTCAAGAATAGATTTGATGCGTTGAACACTAATGACTGAAGACCAGACGATATGTAGAATGACATCCAAGACATCATCCATGAAGAAAGCAAGAGGTCATTAAAAAGACAGGAGAGAAAGAAAAGACCTAAATGGATGTCAGAAGAGACTCTGAAACTTGCTCTTGAATGTCAAGGAGCTAAGGCAAAAGGAAAAAAGGATGACGTAAAAAAGCGGAACAGAAGATTGCAAAGGGCAGCTGGAGAAGACAAAGTATCATGATGACATACGCAAAGCCCTGGAGATAGAACACCAGAAGGAAAAAACACACTCAGCATTTCCCAAGCTGAAAGAACTGAAGAAAAAAATTCAAACCTCGAGTTGCAATACTGAAGGATTCTTGGGGGAAAATATTAAACAACGCATAAGGCATCGAAAGAAGATGGAAGGAATGCACAGAGTCACAATACCAATAAGAAATGGACGCCGTTCAACCATTTCAGGAGGTAACATACGATCAGGAACCGATGGTACTGAAGGAAGAAGTCCAAGCTGCACTGAAGGCACTGGCGAAAAACAAGGCTCCAGGAATTGATGGAATATCAACTGAGATGTTTCAACAAACGGATGCAGTGCTGGAAGTGCTCACTTTCAAGACATCTGGAAGACAGCTACCTGGCCAACTGACTGGAAGAGATCCATATTTATGCCTATTCCCAAGAAAGGCGATCCAACCGAAAGCGGAAATCATTGAACAATGTCATTAATATCACACGCAAGCAAAATTTTGCTGAAGATCCTGAAAAAGTGGCTGTAGCAGTATATCAACAGGAGCTGCCAGAAATTCAAGGTGGATTTAGAAGAGGACATGGAACCAGGGATATCCTTGCTGATGTCACATGGATCCTGGCTGAAAGCAGAGAATACCAGAAAGATCTTTACCTGTGTCTTATTGACTATGCTAGGGCATTCGACTTTGTGGATCATAAAAAATTAAGTACAACATTGCGGAGAATGGGAATTCTGCAACACTTAATTGTGCTCATGATGAATCTATACATGATCAACAGGCAGTCGTAATCTGAAAGCTGGACTATATGAAGAAGAACGGGGCATCAGGATTGGAGGAAGACTCATTAACAACCTGCATCATGCAGATGACACAACCTTGCTTGCTGAAAGTGAAGAGGACTTGAAGCATTTACTGATGAAGATCAAAGACCACAGCCTTCAGTATGGATTACATCTCAACATAAAACAAATACCCTCACAACGGGGCCAATAAGCAACATTATGATAAACAGCAAAAAGATTGACGCTGTCAAGGATTTCATTTTACCTCGATCCCCAATCAACACCCATGGAAGCAGCAGTGAAGAAATCAAAAGACGCGTTGCATTGTGCAAATCCACTACAAAAGTCTTCTTTAAAGTGTCGAAAAGCAAAGATTTCACCTTGAGGACTAAGGGGTGCCTGACCCATACCATGGTGTTTTCGGTCACCTAATATGTATGCGAAAGCTGGACAATTAATAAGGAAGAAAGAAGAACTGACGCCTTTGAATC